GCTAGAGATTGAACCTAGGGACTCAAATATGCAAAGCACACACTCTACCAGAGCTACACCCCCAGCCCTGACATGTGCATCATTGAAGAGGATTAGAGCAACATAATGTTTTGCTTAGTTCCCAGGGCCTTTGGCTTAGCTCCAGCCAAACTAATCTGCTTACTGTCCCTACCAAGATATTAATAACTCCTTAGGGTCTGGAATACTGGCCAATACTCTCTACTTTTAAAACTTTGTCTTCTCTCAGCTTAATTCTGTCTATCTTTGATTGCCCCTTAGTCTCCATCCCTGACATCTCTATGCACGTGTACGTTCGGTCTTGGGCGAGGTGTGGATCCGTGCACTTATCAAAACAGCAAAGTACACTTAAGACTTGGTGTTTCATTATATGTATTTCTCTCTTTTGATTGCTTCTTTTTAAAAAAAAATATTTATTTATTCATTCATTTATTTATTTGATACAGGATCTTGCTATACAGTTCAGACTCATAGTGATCTCCTTTCTCAGCCTCCCCAGTGCTGGGATTACAGGCGTGTACCACCATGCCCAGTTTTGGGCCTGGTATGGCATGAGGTACCAGGGATCAAACCCAGGTCCTTGCACTTGCCAGGCAGGCACTTAGACTGCCAAGCTATCTCCACAGTCCTATTTTTCTTTTTTGAGTCAGGGTCTCACCATGGTACCTAAATTGCCCGAGCTGGCCTTGGACTTGCAATTCTCCTTTCTCCTGCCTCACCTTGCAGAGTACCTGGGATTACAGCAGATGCTGCCACAGCCAGGTTCTTTGCATGGAAATCTTACATCTAAAGAAAAACAATGGGGATAAGTGATTAGCTCTAATTGATTATATACATGCAAGGGTTTTAGGGGAAAATGTGCTGATCTAATTTACTTTGAAGTATATCTATAAAATAAGGTGGGCCTGGCAAGATAGCTGAGCGGACAAGTGCTTTAGCAAGTGCAGGGACCAGGTTCAATCCCGGTTCTACAAGCTGAGCTGGCCCCACCCCCGGGGCGTGCTGAGCCAGCAAAGCAGTCTGGTCATGGTGGCCCACGCCTGTAATCCCAGCACTGGGGAGGCTGAAAACAGGAGGATCACTACAAGTCTGAACTG